AGGGCAAGATGCTATGTTTTTTATAATGAGAGGAGCACAGGCATTGCCCCTCACAAAGGCTTCTAAGGGATTGGAAAGATTTAGAGCAGCAGTTCTCAACCTATGGGTCATGACCCCTTTGTTACAATGAAAATACATACTGCATATCAGATGTTTACATTACAGTTCACAACAGTAGCAAAATCACAGTTAGGAAGTAGCAATGAAAATAATTTTATGCTTGGGGGGTCACCACAACATGAGGAACTGAATTAAAGGGTCATGGCATTAGGAAGGTTGAGAACCACTGATTTAGAGGAAGTTCTGTTTTCCCTTTGAGCTGGACAAGTGTGGCTCGTCCTGTCTGTTGGGACTACCTCCCACCTTGTAAGTCTTCCTCATTGTCATGGGTGTGTTAGCTTTACTTTTACATCAGGATACTGATACTAGAGAGATTAGCACCTGCCTAAAGTTTTGCTGCCACTAATTGGCAAAACCTGAATGGAAATCTGAGCCATTTGGTTTCCAATGATAGACTGTGGTCATGAGCAGGGCACTTGTGACTTGAAGTAGGCAGAATAGGGCTTTCAGTCTGGTTTCACAGATAAGGGCTCAGAGTGATTGAAGGGTCAGCCTCACGATCACAGCCTGTGACAGTCATGCGGGCAGAGGCTGTCTGCTTGTAAGGCTATCATTCAGCTAAGAAAGGAATATTAGAGGGTAAAGAAAATTGGGTTCTAAAATAAATCATCGTGGTGAAAAAATAAACATGAGTTTAGCTTTAATTTGGAGTACCAATATTAAATATGCCCTATCTGGATAAAGTGCTTTTTAAAAATACTTTTATTTTGAAATAGATTAAGAAATTATGAAAATTGCACTTAGAGTTCCCATATACGCACATGATTGGTCCAGCTTCTCCTGGGGTGACATCTCATCTGATTGCAGTCCATTATCAAAACCAGGCAGTCGACATTGGAATAATACCATTAACTCAACTGTCACCTTTTCCAGATTTCACTGGGTTTCATGTGCCTTCTTTATTTGTACATCCAGCTCTACGCAAGTGTCACCATAGTTTTCGTGGGCAACACCACAGGCAGGACTGAAAACATGTCATCTGCACAAAGCAGCTCCTCCAGTCCCTCCCTGCATAGTCCCCTCTACCCAAGAGCCTGCTGATCCTTTCCCTGTCACTTCCCTTGTCATTTCCTTTCATCTGATGAACTCCATTTGGCTTTTCTTTTAGAATAGACCCCCTGGGCTGGGTGCCTGTGGCTCAAGTGGCTAAGGCGCCAGCCACATACACCTAAGGTGGCAGGTTCAAATCCAGCCTGGGCCCGCCAAACAACAATGATGGCTGCAACCAAAAAATGGCTGGGCGCTGTGGTGGGCACCTGTGGTCCCAGCTACTTGGGAGGCTGAGGCAGGAGACTCGCTTGAGCCCAGGAGTTGGAGGTTGCTGTGAGCTGTGGTGCGACAGCACTCTACCCAGGGGGACAGCTTAAGGCTCTGTCTCAAAAAAAAAAAAAAAAGAATAGACCCCCTGGCAACAAACTCTTAGTTTTCCTTCATTTAAACTCTTTATTTCACCTTCATTCATGTTATTTTATTTTCAGGGCTTTTTAAAAAAAACTTTAATTCTTGAAGGATACTTTTGTTGGAAATAGAATTCTAGGTTGACGTTCTTTACTTTCACACTTAAAAAAGGTGCCCCTTCTTTCTGGTTCCCTGGTTTCTGATGAGAAAGCTGCTATCATTCTAATTATTATTCCCTTTAGATCACGTGTCATTTCAGTCTGGCTACTATCAAGAATTTTTGTCTTTGTCTTTAGTTTTCAGAAGTTTGATTGTAACGTGTCTGGGTGTGGATTTCTTTGCTTTTATCCTTTTTAGAGTTCACTCGCCACCTTTTATCTATAGATGTGTCTTTCACCAAATTTGGGGCGTTTTCAGTCATTATTTCTTCCAAATCTGTATTTTTTTTCCTCTACTTCTGGAACTCTGATGACACAAATGTTAGCTCTCTTGTTGTCACACTGGCCTCTTGAGACAGTTCAGTTTTTTTTAAGCTTTTTTTCTCTCCTTCACTCAGTTGGAATAATTGAATCTGTTGTCAGCTTCCCTCTTTCCCGTTACCTCCATCCTGCTGTTGAACTCTTGTGGTGAGTTGTTTTATGTCTATGGTTGTATGTTTGGTTCTGAAATTTCCATTTGGCTTTTCTGTATATCTTCCATTTCTTTGCTGAGACTTTATTTTTTTTTATTTGTTTCAAGTGTGTATCGTTGATTTATTGGAGTGTTTTTAATAGTAGCTTTAATCCTTTTTCAAGAATTCTTTTTTTGTGTGTATATATATTTTTTTGGTGGGGGGGAGACAGAGCCTCAAGCTATCCCCCTGGGCAGAGTGCCGTGGCATCACAGCTCACAGCAACCTCCAACTCCTGGGCTCAAGCAAGTCTCCAGCCTCCGCCTCCCAAGTAGCTGGGACACAGGCGCCCGCCACAATGCCTGGCTATTTTGTGGTTATAGCCATCATTGTTGTTTGGCAGGCCTGGGCTGGATTCGAACCCGCCACCTTAGGTGTATATGGCTGGCGCCTTAGCCACTTGAGCCACAGGTGCCGAGCCTTGTGCGTATATTTTTAAGAAATAGCATGTCACTCTATCTCCCATTCTAACATACAGTAATACAGTCATAGCTCAGTATACCCTTGAATTCCTAGGCTCAAACAGTGCTCTCATTCAGCCCAAGTAGCTAGGATACAGGTACACACCACCACATCCAGCTAATTATTTTATGTTTTGTAGAGACAGGGTCTTAACTATCTTGCCCAGGATGGTCTTGAACTCCTAGTTTCAAGTGATTCTCCTGTGTTGGCCTCCAAAGTGCTGGGATTATAGGTGTGAGCCACCACGCCTGGGCCTTTTCCAATAATTCTAACCTCCATGTTATCTCAGTATTGGTGTTTTGTGTGTGTGTGCGTGTTTTGAGACAGAATCTCGCTATGTCACCCTCGTTAGAATGCTATAATATCACAGCTCACAGCAACCTCAAACTCCCAGGCTCAAGGGATTCTCTTGCCCCAGCCTCCCAAGCAGCTGGGACCACAGGCCCTAGCCACAACACCTGGCTATTTCTCTGTTGCAGTTGTCATTGTTGTTTAGCTGGCCCGGGCAGGTTTCAGACCTGCCAGCCTCAGTGTATGTGGCTAGTGCGATAACCACTGTACTACAGGTGCCGAGCCAGTATTGGTGTCTTTTGATTAATTTTTCCATTGAAGTTGAGATTTTTGCATATTCCGAATTATAATCTTCTCAGATGCCCAGGCCAGAATAAATTCAAAAATAAACAAGTCCAGAGAACATACCACCAAGTTATTCCCTACGTTCCAGGGTTTCTAGCCAGTCTTACCCTTTTTTCTCCCACCCGTCAGTTTTCTCATAGTTGATTTATGTATTTATTCAAAGTTTTCATTGCAACTAAAGAAGGAATAATATGTAATATGCTTACCCCAACTCATCTAGAACCAGAAGTGCAAAATACTTCTTTAAAATGTCAAGTGTCGGCTCGGCGCCTATAGCTCAACCGGCTAAGGCGCCAGCCACGTACACCTAAGGTGGCGGGTTCGAATCCCCAGCCCGGACCCGCCAAACAACAATGATGGCTGCAACCAAAAAATAGCCGGGCGTTGTGGCGGGCGCCTGTGGTCCCAGCTACTTGGGAGGCAGAGGCAAGAGACTCGCTTGAGCCCAGGAATTGGAGGTTGCTGTGAGCTGTAATGCCACAGCACTCTACCCAGGGGGACAGCTTGAGGCTCTGTCTCAAAAAAAAAAAAAAAATATCAAGTGTCGGGTGATGCCTGTGGCTCAAAGGAGTAGGGCACCGGCCCCATATACCAGAGGTGGTGGTTTCAAACCCAGCCCTGGCCAAAAATTGCAAAAAAAAAAAAGTCAAGTATCTGAGCTATGCATGATCTTTCATTTGGTCCTACTACTTTTAAAGGCAAGAAATAAAAATTAGCTTAAGACAGCTCAAACAAAAGGAAGTTTATTAGTAACGTACTATAGCAAATCTTAGTAGCATGACTGTTGTTTAACTGTTTGCTCTAGCAATTTGTTAAATTTCTAAGAAACCTTAAGCTGCTGGCTCGGCGCCTGTGGCTCAAGCAGCTAAGGCGCCAGCCACATATCCCTGAGCTGGCAGGTTCAATTCTAGCCCAGGTCTGCCAAACAACAATGATGCTGCAACCAAAACATAGCCTTGCACTGTGGCAGGCACCTGTAGTCCCAGCTATTTGGGAGGCGGAGACAGGAAAATCACTTGAGCCTAGGAGTTAGAGGTTGCTGTGAGCTATGATGCCATAGTACTCTACCTAGGGTGACAGCTTGAGGCTCTGTCTCAAAAAAAAAAAAAAAAAGAAAGAAACCTTAAGCTGCAGCGGAGTAGGAGGGAAGAATCACATTCTGCAAATAACTATTTTCGTGGAGAAGTGGAGAACCGCGTATTAAGGGTTAGATACCGTACCTTGCAACTTCATCCCCCTCTGCAGGAACTAGAGTTTTTGTCGTGACCATCAAATCTAAATTTACTGAAAATATCTGTTTTATTCACTTGTTCTTTCACTTGCCCACCACCCTCAAAATACGATGTCGTCTATATGATTGTTGAAGTCCATCACTCACTAAGGATGGTCTTTATCTTCTCTGTCTTAGAATTCATATTCTTAGCTGAAAATTTAAGTTACTGGTCATGCATTGAATTTCTGGATGCCTCTCTGCTCAGCTGTGGCGGGAGTGTAAGGAAGAGTCATTTGGGTCTCTTCCCGTGGCGAGGGCATGAACTGCTGCTGTACTTCACAAAGAGGAAGACTCGGGGTAGACTAGGTGCCTCTAACACTCGTTTCTTATACCAGGTTGTTAGCAGAATGTCAAAGCAGTTAGTTTTATTTTTCTACTTAGTCTAATGAGAAACCCCAAACTGCATATTTGTGTGACATCTTTAAAATCTTCTTTCCTTAGAACGCCTGACAGACAATCTCAGAGTTGGACAGACATCCATAGTTGCTGCTCAGATGTTTCTTTTTTTCAGAGTTTTGCTGCTAAGAATCTCTCCTCAACATTTGACTTCATTGTGGCCAATAATGGTCTCTGAATTGGTGAGTATGAGTCTGGTACTCTTTTTTTTTTTTTTTTTGAGACAGAGCCTCAAGCTGTCCCCCTGGGTAGAGCGCTGTGGCATCGCAGCTCACAGCAACCTCTAACTTCTGGGCTCAAGCAAGTCTCCTGCCTCAGCCTCCCAAGTAGCTGGGACCACAGGGATCCACCACAACACTTGGCTATTTTTTGGTTGCAGCCATCATTGTTGTTTGGCAGGCCCAGGCTGGATTCTAACCCGCTACCTTAGGTGTATGTGGCTGGCACCTTAGCTGCTTGAGCCGTAGGCGCCGATCCAAGTATGGTACTCTTGAACGATTGGAGCTTTTAAAAGTAGGGGCGGTGCCTGTGGCTCAAAGGAGTAGGGCGCTAGCCCCATATGCTAGCTCTGGGCCAAACCCAGCTCTGGCCAAAAACTGAAAAAAAAAAAAGTACTTTAAAATTCTTTTTTTTTTTTTTTTTTTTGAGACAGAATCTCATTTTATCGCCCTCAGAGTGCCATAATGTCACAGCTCACAGCAACCTCCAACTCCTGGGTTTAGGCAGTTCTCTTGCCTCAGCCTCCTGAGTAGCTGGGATTACAGGCGCCTGCCACAATGCCTGGCTATGTTTTGTTGCAGTTTGGCCGGGGCTGGGCTTGAACCCGCCACCCTCAGTATATGAGGCCAGCCCCCTACCCACTGAGCCACAGGTGCCGCCTATACTTTAAAATTCTTTTCATTGACATATGATGTACTTCTTTATATATGTTTAATTTTAGTTTTTTTATTGGGTTGGTTGTACATAGGTTCTGGTTAAATAGAGAGTATTTTATCCTATAATCGTATTTGATATCTTATCTGTCAGCTATTCCAACTAATTTGTACCATTACTTTTTTGTTGTTTAATACCATTGTTACAGTTTGGCCGGGGCTGGGTTCGAACCCACCACCCTCAGTATATGAGGCCAGCCCCCTACCCACTGAGCCACAGGTGCTAATGTGGCTAATTTGTACCATTACTTTTTTGTTGTTTAATACCATTTTATAGAATTCAGAAACAAGTAAAATGGAACACTGTGCTATTGAAGGATATATACATACATATATTGTACTTTTTCAAAAGCAACGTAATGATAAACACAAAATATAAGATTGTGGTTATAGGAGCAGGAGGGGATAAGAAAAGTGGGGCAGGGAATAGAGGTGGAGGGAGTCAGCAGAACAGTACCTGTAGCTTACGTTTAGATTCTTGAGTTGGGTGACAGGTTTGGTTGTTCATTGTTATTTTACTTTGAATTTAAATCATGTTACAAATAATTATTGTAGGTAGTGATTAATATGTTAAAAAACAATGGAGCCATACTCCAGAGTCACAACTTAGGAGACATGTCATCTGCCTACTCCCTACCTGTCATCTTCTGCCTACTCCCTTACTGCCACCTGAATTCCTAATTATTTGCTACTTTTTTATAGAAATATAAATTTGGGTAGGTTTAATCTCTCTCAAGGCCAAGTGTCATGGCTCACACCTGTAATCCTAGTACTTTGAGTTGGAGACAAGAGAATCACTTGAGCCCAGGAGTTTGAGACTAGCCTGAGTGGCATAGCAAGCAAGACCTCTCTCTATCAAAAAATGAGACCCTCTTTCTACAAAAAATTTTAAAAATTAGCCAGGTGTGGTGTGCATGCCTATAGTCTCAGCTACTCAGAAGGCTGAGGCATGATGATGGGTTGAGCCCAAAAGACTGAGGCTGGAGTGAGCTATGGTGACACCAATGCCCAGGAAACAGAATGAGATTCTCTGTCAATAACTAAAACTCTCTCAACCAGTAACTTGACTGCATCTTTTCATTTTCAGATTCAGACATTTATACAGCTTGAAGAAGATCTAAAAGAAGAAGATGAGTCATTGAGGTAAGTTGTACAGGTCTGTGCACCCATGAAAAGGGAAGATGAATGGATATCACTTTATGATACAGGGTTATCTGATGCTAAATGCTGTTTTCTTGAAGTATTTGTGAGGTATTAGCTTTTTTTTTTTTTTTTTAAGACAGAGTCTCACTTGGTTGCCCTTATTAGAGTGCTATGGCATCACAGCTCACAGCAACCTCAAACTCTTGGGCTTAAGTGATTCTCTTGCCTCAGCCTCCCAAGTAGCTGGAACTACAGGCACCCGCCACAATGCCCGGCTATTTTTTGGTTGCAGTTGTCATTGTGGTTTAGATGGCCCACGCCGGGTTCAAACCCATTAGCCTTGGTACATGTGGCTGGCACAGTAACCACTGTGCTACAGGTGCCAAGCCGGGACTGGCTATTTTAAAAATTTCTTAGAAACTCCTTCTTGGCTCGGCACCTATAGCTCAACCAGCTAAGGCACCAGCCACGTACACCTAAGGTGGCGGGTTTGAATCCCCAGCCCTGCCCCGCCAAACAACAATGACGGCTGCAACCAAAAAATAGCCGGGCATTGTGGCGGGCGCCTGTAGTCCCAGCTACTTGGGAGGCAGAGGCAGGAGACTCGCTTGAGCCCAGGAGTTGGAGGTTGCTGTGAGCTGTAATGCCACGGCACTCTGCCCAGGGGGACAGCTTGAGGCTCTGTCTCAAAAAAAAAAAAAAAAAAAGAAAATCCTTCTTAAGGACATTTCAAAGGTGAATGTGAATGAATTTATAACAAGAGGTTTTTTTGTAAATTTATAGAAGCAACAACAAAATAAACAGAATTAAAGTGTCAGTTATGGATGGAAATGGGCCTGCAGTTGGGGAGATACCCCAGAGTGAACTCATCTTATACTTATCAGCTTGCAAGTTCTTGGACACAGCTCTTTCGTTTCCACCCGACAAGATGCCATTATTTCAAATGTAAGTCATATAAGATCATGTGTCCTTTTTGCAGTAGGTGATTTTTTTTTCCTCTTTAAGCACTTTCACTTGTTTTTTAGTACAGTTCATGGGAAGCCACAGTATAGGTTTCGAGCGACCGGTGAGCCAACTCTAAACACCAAGTTTCGTATTACTTGCAACGTCTGTGGTTTTCTGACTTTGGCTGACAGCAGTATTTATGACTGCATTTCTGTGGGGTGTGTGTCTTTATCTGGGTTTCGCTACTGAATACTTATAAAACAGGCGTCACTCACTGGAGGTCCTCACTACATTTGGGTAGTTGTTGTTGTTTTTTTTTTTTGTCTGTGTTCAGTTAGATACAAATGCCTTTATTTTGGAGCATGTCGTCTCCAATTCACTTTGCCCCTTGTGCTTACATTTCCTGGAGGCTTAATGCAGCTGCTCATTCATTTGATTTCATGCCTGGCCCCAGAGGCGGCTTCCCTCTGCCCTCCTCTTGCAAAGAGATTAATCCTGTAGAAACGTCTATGCTTTCAAAGTATGTCCTCTAAAGTGCACATTACTAAGTGGAAGAAGCCGCTCTGAAAAGGCTACACACTGTGTGAGTCCAACCACGTAACATTCTGGAAAAGGCAACACCACAGGGACAGTAATCATTAGCTTTCAGGGGCTGAAAAGAGAAGAGGAAGTGAATCGGGGTGCACAGAAGACTCTTAGGGCAGTGAAACCACTTGTGTGATTCTGTGATGGTGGGTGCATGTCATTATACACCTGTACCTTTGTACAGAATGTACAAAACCAAGAGGGGGGCCTCAAGTAAAGTCTGGACTTTGGGTGTTTATGGCAAGTCAATACAGGTTCATCAGTTTTCACAGATGTACTGCTCTGGGGCGGGATGTCAGTGGTAGGGGAGGTGGTTATACTTGGGGGGCGGGGTGTATAGCAACTGTCTGTACTTTCTATTCAGCTTTGCTGTGAACCTAAAACTGCTCCACGAAAAAAAGTCTGTTTTCTAAAATATAGGTGCTGATGTATGCAAATGTGCATAGCTGCATTATTTATAATAGGCAAAAAGTGGAGACAACCCAGATGGCCGTTAGCTGATGAATGGACACATAACGTGGTATATCCATACAATGGAATACGACTCAGCTTCAGAAAGAAATGAAATTCTGATACGCGCTAGAACAGGGATGGGCCTTCAAAATGCTGTGCTATGTGCAAGAATTGAGACACAAAGGGACATACATTGTCTGACTCTGTTCATGAGGGATGTCCAGAACAAGAAAGTCTATAGGGACAGTATAGATCAGTGGTTGTCTAGAGGTACAGGGGACTGAGGGATGACAGCTGAGGGGTACAGGATTTCTTTGGGGGGTAATGAAATACTCAAATTGATTGTGGTGGTAGCGGTACAGCTCTATGAATATAATAAAAGCCATTGTGCGTCTTGGCATGGGTATGATCTGTGAATTATATCATAATAAAACTTTTTAAAATTGTTGAAGGGGTCTGAGCCAGCATGCCTGACCTCGGGCTTGTCTCTTCCAGTTACAGATGGGCATTTGTTCCAGAAGTGGACACAGAAGACCCTGCCTTTCTGTCAGATCTAGAGGAGAATCACCAAGAATGCAAACCTCACACTGTCAGGATTCTAGAACTTCTAAAATTAAAATATGGGGTAAATGTTTTCCTTTTTAAAAATCACATTCATAGCGTGGCGCCTGTGGTTCAAAAGGGTAGGGTGCCAGTCCCATATGTTGGAGATGGTGGGTTTAAACCCAGCGCCGGCCAAAAACTGCAAACAAACAAACAAACAAACAAAATTCACATTTATGTGGGCAGTGCCTGTGGCTCAGTGAGTAGGGCATGGGCCCCACATACCGAGGGTGGTGGGTTTAAACCCAGCCCAGCCAAACTGTAACGAAAAAAAATATAGCCAGGTGTTGTGGTGGGCTCCTATAGCTTCTCGGGAGGCTGAGGCAAGAGAATCGCATAAGCTCAGGAGTTGGAGGTTGCTGTGAGCTGTGACGTGACGGCACTCTACTGAGGGTGACAAAATAAGACTATCTCTAGAAAATAAAGGACTTCCTATGCCACTTGATTTTAATGACATCAAATAACTTTCAAAATCTTCATTTTAAAACTTGATGTGGTTATCAGTGTACTGTGACCTGGCAGCCCTGTGCTGGTGGGTGCAGTCCTCCAGGGCCGCTGTAGAGCTTGCTCAGGGCGCTGGGTGAGGAATGGAGCCAGTGGGCCGTGGTGGAACTGGCTGCAGCTCCTCCTCTGCAGACCCAGGAAGAGGAGGTGGTGGAGCGGGTGTTTATTTTCCTGCCCGCCAGGGCACTGCCATGAGTGTCCGGCCTGTGCCGCTTATGGAGGGAGTGTGTGTGCAGAGTGTTGCCCACCCTTTGGAGTGACCTGGACCTTCGCAGGCCTGGCTGAGGCCGGCCACCCAGAGGGGCATTGCTTGGTTCATGTGGCAGCGGAGGAGCTTGAGAATGTTAGCATCTTACCACACGCAGTGATTGAGAAACTTTCATTAGTCTGGAAGAGTTCATGGCCGCAAGAAAGCAAGGAAAAGAAAGTATGGAAATAGCATTTGCCCTTGAAAAGCTAGCTGTTCCTAAAACAATGCCAATCCTTGTAAAAAATTTTAGGAACCCTCTGGATATTGATGCCGCTAGTGTGGTTGGGCTGTCATTTAGTGGATACCAAATCCAGAGGGCCGCCATGCTCCTCATCGAGGATGTCGATGATGAAAAGGGCTACTGCAGCTGCAGTGCAGCGCCTCGGAGCCACCAGCATTCCCAGGCAGAGCACCACTGGCTTCATGTTTGCACGCTGGCAGGGGCTTTCAGTATTATAGAGCCAAGGGGAATGTTGAGGCTGATGCATTTAGAAAGTTTTCTCCTAGGGTCCCTTTATTTGGCTTCTTTGGAAACGGAGAAATTAGAACTGATTGGATAGTCACTGGTAATTTTATATTGAGGAAATGTAATGAGGTAAAGGATGATGACCTGTTTCATAAGTACACAACAATAATGGCACTCTGGCTCGGAGCCCGTTGTTCAGTGGTTAGGGTGCTGGCCACATACACCCAGGCTGGCGGGTTCGAACCTGGCCAGGCCTGCTATAACAATAATGACAACTATAACAAAAAATAGCCAGGCATTGTGGCAGGCACCTATAGACTCAGCTACTTGGGAGGCTGAGGCAAGAGAATCTCTTAAGCCCCAAAGTTTGAGGTTGCTGTGAGCTGTGACGTCATGGCACTCTATCTACTGGGGGCAACAAAGTGAGACTCTGTCTCAAAAAAAGAAAAACAAGGTGGCGCCTGTGGCTCAAAGGAGTAGGGCGCCAGCCCCATATGCTAGAGGTGGTGGGTTCAAACCCAGCCCTGGCCAAAAACTGCAAAAAAGAAAAAGAAAGAAATTGCAAGAGAAAATCTTTTTCACCTAGTTCTATAAAGCTGATTGGCACTAGAGAATTATATCGCCTTATTTTGGTTTTATACCAATAAACATACCTTGAAAACTAAAAAAAAAAAAACAAAACACTTGATGTGATTATAAATTCCATCTTTATTTGCTCTCGTGTCATGTGGACACCTCTCTTGCTAAGAGGCAAAGCCTCCTGATAGCACAGTCATGTGGAATTCATTTTGCTCCCCAGGTTCTTCTGTTTCTTAGGGTCCAAGAAGAGGCAAAGCCCAGTAGGGAAAATGACAAGGGCCTGGAGTCAGGGTGGGTTCAGTGTGAGACCCTGAGGGAGCATGTTAATGGGAACCTAGAGATTGAGTCATTAGTGCTGATACTGAATTTTCCTAAAGAACTAATCTCAGGTTTTGCTGTAAATATGCGTGTTTCACGGGCATCTGCAGCCCGTGGCAGTAAAGCCACGCCATTCTTATGTTTTTTTGCAGGAAGTTAGCAGCTCCGATGAGATCATCAAGAGTGAGTTCCCTCTTCTGCGCCAACATTCTGTGTCCAGCGTTGGGCAGCTGATGCCATTCTTCAGGACTCTAAACTGTGCTTTTAAAGCCCAGAGACAGCTGTCTGCTGATCCCTCAGAAGCTCCGTTCTTAGAGGTTCCTGCCACGGACAGCTTAAGGGTCTTAAAACAACTGGAAGAATGTGTCGAGTATGATTTTTTGGAACATCCGGAATGTTGACCTTATGAGAGAATTTGTTTACTTCATTTATTGGTACCTTAATGAAAATAAGGGTATATTCCAAATAAGAAAGGAGCCAGGACAGTGCTTTTAAATACATCCTTTTCAATTGCAAAAGCAGATTTCAGATAATTTTCTGTTTGGCAACAAAACACACCTCCCTAAATGCTTTGTAATATATCTGGATCTGATTTTCTTTATTCTTCAATTTATGTAATGAAAATAAAGTTAATATATAATCTAAGAATAGCACAAAATTTATAATATGAAGCAAAGTATGAAGTCAGCTTTTTTTTTTTTTTGTCATTGAAGCAGATACCTGGGTCTTTCTCAGAATATCTCTCTAAAAGTTTAAACTCATTAAAAGAATATTATTTTTCACCTTTCACACAAATATCTTTTCAGCATTTATTTTGGCATTGCATTTAAAACTAAAATACATTGTCTCCTAGGAATAATAATTGCCCTTTTCCTAGTCAGCAGAGCTGAGCACTCCAAAGAGAATTTCAATATAGTTAACCCTTGCCCATTGAAATCATGTTTGCCCTTTAACTGCATGAGAAGTACATTGTTTTAAATTCTGTCAGTTGAAACCTTAGTCACATGCCTGATGTACCTTTCAACACTTTCTATTTACTATAAATCAGTCAAGGTTTCAGGCCTTGGAACTGTAAGGCCTGAAAGGCTGTCAGGGATGCTCTCCTTTGGGCTTCTTCCTTTCCTTCTTTCCTTTCTGGGATGTCTTGACCACTGTGCAGACAGAGTTGTACATTAAAATAATCCTTCCCTGGGAATGGAGCTCTCTGGCTTGGCAGCATCTCACCCCGCTCTTCCCAAGCCCATCTGTCTTTTGTCAGCTTCCCTTAAGCATCCTCTCCTGGCGCCCTTGTGGGGCTCTCTCTGCCACTGACCACGGTCCACCTTCCAGACCTGCTTGCCACCTGTCCCCTCTTCAGCCACTAGACCACAGTGCCTTTCACTTTCTAGGCCAGATGAGCAAACTGTTCTCTTGTTAAGGTGTATAGCATTGTAGCTGAGGGTGAAGGCTCTGGGTTTGACTCTCAGCTTACCTGCACACCATCATTGGCAAATATGTTTCACCTCAGTTTTCTCATTGGGTGGTAATAGCAGTGCCTTTTAGGGTTGTAGAGATGGGGTTTCATGACAAAAACTAAAAGGACAAAAGAATAAAAGGAATAGAGCCACTGTGTCCAGCCTGTTACATATTTTATAAAAAAGAAAATGGAGATTTTTTTTAAAGTATGAGGAAGTCCAGTTGTGGTGGCTCATGCTTATAATCATAGCACTCTGGGAGACTGAGGCAGGAGGATCACTTTAGCTTAGGATTTTGAGAAGAGCCTGAGCAAAAGTGAAACCCCACCTCTATTAAAAATAGAAAAATTAGCAGGGCATTCTGGTGGGCACCTGCCGTCCCAGTTACTCAGGAGGCTGAGGCAGGAAGATTACTTGAACTCAGGAGTTTGAGGTTGCTGTGAGCTAAGCTGATGCCATGGCACTCTAACCTGGGCAATAGAGTGAGACCCTGTCTCAAAAAAAAAACCATGAGGACAAATAAAATTAGCATTTCTGATATTCTGAAGCTCCCATTAGGGAGTACCTAAAAGATGAGCGTGAGGAGCTTCTGCCCCTCTCTTTGAAGACAGCTACTCGAATTCACGTCCTACCAGCAGTGTCACGTGGCCCAAGTCACCACAGTGGAGGGTCATCAATGTTGTGGAAGGGGTGGTGGTTGCCAAGGGTGGGCAAGGCAAACAGAACAGACTGGATGTTCTAACAGGAGGGAGATGGAGGGAGTATAGCCCTTAAGTCTGAGCATGAACTAGTCCCTGCCACAGAGCCCCTGCCCCAACCGCTGCCCATACCCTGAGGATATAGGGATTATTACCCATTCTACAGAGCCAGCAGAACTGAGGCTCAGAGAGGCAGAGCCAGGAATGGAAACTTAAGTCAACCACAGTCCTGAGAAAGTGAAACTGGAAATAGAGAAACTGTTTCTGTTTGGTCATGTGTGGAAGACAGTTTCTGAAACTGCCCCACCCTTGGTGACTTCCTGAAAAACTAGCTCCTTCTAGGGTCACAAGTCCACACAGAAAGTGGTTTCTTGTTTTCAAAGGATGATGAAGTATGTTTTAAAGGACAAGACAGGCTAGCTGAGTCTATAGAGCAGTGGTTTTCAACCTTTCTAATGCTGCAGCCCTTTAATATAGTTCCTGTGGGTCTTGACCCCAGGTTGAGAACTGCTGCTGTAGAGTGTGAGACTCAGTTAAAAATTTTTTAAACAGAAAAGTAAGCCGGACAGCGCCTGTGGCTCAAAGGAGTAAGGCGCCAGCCCCATACACTGGAGGTGGCGGGTTCAAACCAAGCCCCCGGCCAAAAACTGGAAAAAAAAAAAAAGCCTTGGAAGGAGTAGGGTGCCAGCCCCATATACTGGGGGTGGTAGGTTCAAGTCCAGCCCCGGCCAAAACAGCAAAAAAAAAAAAAGTAAGCCCTATTTTCTAGTACTTGTACATTATGCCCACTCCTTAAAAGTTTTGAACATGGGCTGCGCCTATGGCTCAGTGAGCAGGGTGCCGGCCCCATATACGAGGGTGGTGGGTTCAAACTCAGCCCCTGCCGAACTGCAACAAAAAATAGCCAGGCATTGTGGCGGACACCTGTGGTCCCAGCTATTCGGGAGGCTGAGGCAAGAGAATCGCTTGAGCCCAGGAGTTGGAAGATGCTGTGAGCTGTGACACTACAGCACTTTACCGAGGGATAGAGTAAGACTCTGTCTCTAAAAAAATAAAAATAAATACATAAATAAAATACAGTATGGCAGCCAGGTGCCATGGTTCATGCCTGTAATCCTAACACTCTGGGAGGCTGAGGCGGGTGGATTGCCTGAGCTCACAGGTTCAAGACCAGGCAGAGCAAGAGTGAGACCGCATCTCTAAAAAAACAGCTGGGTGTTGTGGGGGGGGCCCTGTAGTCCTAGCTACTCTGGAGACTGAGGCAAGGAAATTGCTTGAGCCCAAGAGTTTGAGGTTGCTGTAAGCTGTGATGCCACAAGGATACTCTACCGAGGACAACAAAGTGAGACTCTGTTTCAAAAAAAAGAAAAAAAAAAAACCCAGCATGGCAGTTTCAGGCCAGGTACAATGGCTCATGGCTGGAATCCCAGCAGTTTGGGAGGCTGAAGGAAGATGAGTTAGGCCAGAAGTACAAGACCAGCCTGAACAAAAGCGAGACCTCACTCATGTCTAAAAAAAAAAAAGAAAGAAAGAAAAACTAGCTGGGTATGGTGGCACACACCTATAGTTTCAGCTACTCAGTTGAGACAGGAGGATCACTTAAGCCAGCGGTTCTCAACCTGTGGGTCGTGACCCACAGGAACTGTATTAAAGGGTTGCAGCATTAGGAAAGTTGAACCCAGGCTTTGAAGGTTGCAGTGGGATATGTTGATGCCATTGCACTATAACCTAGGCAACAGAGCAAGACTATCTCACAAAACGCAAATACAGTCTGGCAGTTGCTCAAAAATTTAAGAATAGAATTACCATGTGATCCAACAGGCCCATTTCTGGGTATATATATGCTCCAAATAATTGAAACCAGGGTCTTGAGCATGTATTTGTATACCAATGTTCTCAAAAGCTAAACGGTGAACACTGAAATTTTGAAACAAGGAAATGTGAAAAAACTCAAATTTCCACTGATGGGTATTAAGACTACACAAAATGTGGTCTAACCATACAATGGGATGTTATTCAGCTTTTAAGGGGAAGGAAATTGCAACATGGATGAACCTTGAAGACCTTAAGCTAAGTGAAATAAGCCAGCGATTAAAGGACAAATATGTATGATCCACTTAAATGAAGTGCCTAGGGTAGGTAAATTCATGGAAAGTAGAATGATGGTTGGCTGAGGCTGAGGGAGAAGAATAGGGAGTTTTTGTTTAATGGGTACTAAGTTTCAGTGTGGGAAGATGAAAAAGTTCTGGCGATGGATAGCAGTGATGGTTGCACAGCCACACCACTGAACTGTGCTCTTAAAAGTGGTTAAAATGGTAAATTTTATGTCTATATTACCACAATGACAAAAGTTAAAAGGAACAGAAAGAGGCTTGGTGCCTGTTACTCAGTGGTTAGGGCGCTGGCCAGATAACACCAGGGCTGGCAGGTTTGAACCCAGCCCAGGCCTGCTAAACAACAACAGTGACAACTACAACAAAAAATAGCCAGGCATTGTGGCAGGCATCTGTAGTCCCAGCTACTTGGGAGGCTGAAGCAAGAGGATCACTTTAACCCAAGAGTTTGAGGTTGCTGTGAGCTGTGACATTACAACACTCCATTGAGGGCAACAAAGTGAGACTCTGTCTCAAAAAGAAGTAACAAAAGGAAATACTGTGGGCCTAATGCAAGGGTGGGGAGACAAGTGTGATTGTTCTCTAGCTGGAGACAGTCGGGCTCCCCATTCCCTGATGCACAAGCATCTGTCCTATTCTCACAGGTTTCTTCCCCAAAGTCAACCAGAAGCAGATGGAAAATTAAGGACAAAATGGCCCTTCATGTTTTGGCTATAGAAATGGAAGTCACTGATCGTTCACCCTGCGTTGACATTGTGATGATTTGTGATGACAGCTTTTGGGAGCTGGTGGCCCTTTCTATCTCCTTCCCAGGAACCTCTTCTGCTGCCTCCAACCACTCAGTGTTCATCACCTCTTGCATTGCATACTTGTGTCATTCCATCTGCTTGATACTATTTTATCATCCTCCTCCTGGCAGAGTCCTACTTAAGTCGTGTGTCGGCTTCTACAACAAATACATGGGAGCCAATCTCTGACATCCAGTTGCTTCTTACTTCCTACACCTCCTGGGGCACATAGAGGGACACTGTCACAAAGGTGGCTTTGTTAAGGCACCTAATAATGTAGTTGCCCATTGCTGGCTTTGAGGCAGGAGCCCTTCTAGAGAACTAACAGAATCTCTATCTTCAGTTCCTAATGATGTCTGGCATACATAGACACCCAGCACACAACTAGGTTAAGAATGGACGATTGATTTATCTGCTCAATGTGGTGCAGGAAGAAGGAAAGGTGATAAACCAAATTTTGAATGAATGAATTTATAGGATTAGACAGTTGAGGGCTCTGCCCCCAATTTGGACCCTCCATTACCCTAAGAATCCTTTCCTTGAGGCTCATGCTATTTCACTGATCGCCCACCTTTTGTTCACAAGGATGCTCTTCCTGCCACGCCTCTCTCCTCTTTTCTGTTGGTCCCAAGACTGCCCAGTTACAGAGCCACTCCAAAGCACCTGAAATATATTTGTGAAGACCATCCATTCTGTCTTCACTAGGCTTGTCCTTTATTGGACCTTCTGCTAACCAAGCACTGGACTCAGTGCCCACCTCACTGTTTAGAGAGCTTTTTGTTGTATATTACAGATACTGTGTTAGCTAAGAAGCACTTGGTTAACTATTGTTGCACATGTTATTCCTCCAATTATTTTCTCATTGTTTCTAAGTCTCAGCTAGGCTAACAATCTATATTCTTTCAGGAAACAGACAAGTTGTTTAATGTAATAGGAAGGGTGTAGAAGCCCAGAGATGTTTTGCAGCAGGGGGACAAGCCCTGGGGTAGCTCAGTGTTCTGGGAAGGAGATGAGATCTGTCAGTCGTTAGTGAGCAGGTGTTGGACCTTGAACATTCGTGTGGGAGTCGAGCCCTCGCCCGTGGGAAAGAGCACGTTATGATCCTTAAGCACATAGCCCTTGTACATCATTGCTGGGCTCTCCCCACACCTGTTATCCCCTCAATAAATAGCCACTGGAGAGACTATTCCGGGCTTGGCCTCCTGCACCTCTGGTGAGCCTCACCTCTGGCAAGCTTGTACTTTTAACTCGTGTACTGGCTGTTTCCTGCGTGTGGCGCGGATGACACAGTGGCTCTGACAGAGGGGTAGAGCTTATGGAACCAAAGAGTACGATTGGCCTCGTGGCAATCAATTTCAATAAAAAGCCAGTATGTACACTTCAAGCCAGGCATGGAAAAAAGCTAACATGTATACTCCAGTATCATGTTTTGGCATCAATATCTTTTATGTATGTAAACAACCAGGTATGAGCTGGATGAACTCCCACAGTAACAACAACAATAATAAAATATAGAGTAAAAAATATATAAGGGTTCCTTGAAGAAAATACCAAAGGAATGCCATAGAGAGAGGCTTTCTAAAAGAAAATGATAATTATTTGGGAATAGAGCCTTGCAATGGGAATATGTAGCAAACAGTGCATATTCAAAGAGGTTAACCAAGACAAAGGTTTTCTTTCTTTCTTTCTTTCTTTTTGAGATGGAGGTCTCACTTTGTCACCCTCGGTAGAGTATCATGGCCTCACAGCTCACAGCAACCTCTAGCGCCTGGGCTTAGGCGATTGTCTTGTTGCAGTTTGGCCAGGACTGGGATCCAACCCGCCACCCTATGGGGCCAGCACCTTACTCACTGAGCCATAGGCACCACCCAAGAAGACAAAGGTTTTCAAGGAAAAAAATGAAGAAGATCACATAATTACTCTTTTTTTAGAGTCTCACTTTGTCACCCTTGGTAGAGTGCTGTGGAGTCACAGCTCATAGCAACCTCCAACTCCTGGGCTTAGGCGATTCTCTTGCCTCAGTCTCCTAAGTGGCTGGGACTACAGTCACCTGCCACAATGCCCAGCTATTTTTTCTCTTGCAGTTTGGCTGAGGCTGGGTTTGAATGCACCACCCTTGGTATATGGGGCTGGCGCCCTACTCACTGAGCCACAGGCACTGCCCTGAAATAATTACTCTTGACTACAAAGATTAATAACAAGGGTGATGCCAGTCTGGGATTGGACAGGCAGTTGCTGGCAGACATCCTTATAGAAGTACCGTAGTTCTTGTATAAGGTTGCAATGGTTGCTGTACAAGTTTGTGCTTTTAGCAGTCTTTTGTTATAGTTTTTTAAAATCAAGCATACAAGCATGAAAACCTTATCTTTGATTACATTGCAAGGAATTTATCTGATGTATGTGTATATGTGCAAATGACTTATGTATGGTTTATTTATTACAACATTTTTTTTTTCTTTTGAGAGAGACTCACTTTGTTGTCCTTGGTAGAATGCCATGGCATCACGGCTCACAGCAACCTCAAACTCTTGGGCTCAAGTGATTCTCTTGCCTCAGCCTCCCAAGTAGCTGGGACTACAGGCA